TTTTACAATAGATTATAAAACAATCAGAAATTAAACTTCAGACCTTCAAAACTTTTCTTTTTATTAAAACTGATTGATGAAAAACCATAAAAACATTTTGGGAACTGTTTATTTTTTAAGCATCATGAACAAAATGAACCAAGCAAACAAAGGCTGAATCAGAGGTAGGCCTTGAAATTTAAGACATATCTGCATGTGTTTCTTTCTTTCTTTCTTTCTTTTTTTTTTTCTTTTTAGTTAAAAAGGAATACAAATAACATTTATTTGGGCATAAAATTTATTTGAAGGATATCTGGCTGGAAGCATTTTTAGCCTAACTAAACAAAAGCTGAGTTGTTAGTTGACATCATCAATCACAGCAGCCAGACTGAACGGTGGTGCTGGAAAAAAAAGAAAAAAAAAAAACGCTTTAAAGAGTCTAAAGATGTAATTGAACACAGCCTTGTTTTCTGGAATCTGTAACAACAGATTACATGGGTTATGTTGCAGCAACTCAGTCTTGATTAAACATTAAAACTAAATATATCAGCAAATCTCCAGCATTAAGGATTAATACATTCATCATGCCATGACAGTGCAAAGAGTTCAAAACAGCAAAATCTTGTGAAAAGCATACAAGAGAATTTCTGATCTGATTAATATCTTAAAGGGAGTAAAGCTTTGCCTCTGCAAAAATGATATTATCTGGGCTGCAGGGTGCTATGCATTAGTGTGTCTGCGGTACACATTTGCATCCCACACATATCCCCCGGCAGGAGCAGAAGCTAATCTGCAAAAGACTGCACTTCTGAAAATAAATCATGATCTTTACAATAAGCCCCAAAGGGAACACCATACTCGGAACAACGTTCATTAAGAACATTTTAAACTGCAATGTCTTAAGTTAAAAATAAGACAACATTATGGATGTCATAATAGTCATTTTTTTGCATTTCCTTCTTTTATTGCCAAAATCTAAATAATCCAAACATACTATCCCTGCAGTTGAAAAGGTTGATGTTTTTTAATACACAATTAAAATCACAACTTATGAAAAAGAAAACAAAAAGGATAATGCATCTCTGAGCTCATTGAAGGTAAATATCTGAGGTGGAACCAAGTCATCGCATTGCAAGTCCACCCAAATCCAGGAAAAAGGCGTGAAAGTCACAAATTGACACAAAGTCCTAAACCTTTAAGTTTGAGTCTTAAACAATCACAGTAAGGATGATTTTGATTGTTTTAAAGGTGCAGGGTCACATAACATGACATATTTTAAACGTATATGCCTGTAACTCACTTTTGTCCGATGCATAGTTTCTCTGAAAGGTTATTGTGTTCTGCTGACACATTGTTTGTAATATTTGCATTTTTCTGTATTTGTCTTTTTCTTGCTTTCTCTTCCTTCCCTCCTCTGGCAAAGGTATTCTCGCTCTTTTTTTGCTGGCTTATCCATGTCATGAACTTCAATATTAACTGTTCTATAATCACCTGTGAGTAGATCAGTGGGAGGCATGTCGCTGCTTCAAAGCTGTTGGTCTTACAGGGAGAACCAGGGCAGACCTGGCGCACTGCCAAAGGTTTCGGGTGTCATTTTCTTCACCTGCCCCAGAAGGGGGAGATGACAGACCCCTCAGTTGTCTCATTAACACTTAGATAACCATCAGTTGGACTTAAACAAGGGAGATGTTAAAGTAAAAATCTGACTTAATGCTGCTTTTAGGGCTGCAACTAAAGATTAGTTTGCAAAATCAATTCTTTTTCCCTTTAATCTATTAATAATCAGATAGCAAAAGGCTGTTTAAAGAAGACTTTTTGCGAAATTAAACCAGGTGAAACTAAAATTTTTCGACTTGAGGAGTTTTGGACAGAGCATAGTGACATATAAAAAGATTTTTTGGTAAAATTGCTGCTCAAGGTGGGTCGCTCTGTCAGCTAAAGGCACGTTTTAGAGTCTCTACCCTCCAGTTAACGATTAACAGATTACTAAATTAGTAAGGATCTTTTCTGACGCCTTTTTTACCATGTGGCTTAAAGATCTCCCCACTGCCGCTTAGCAAGCAGTGAAATAGAAGGTCTGGAAGTCAAAACTACAATAAATGGTCCCCTCTACAGTGAGAAATCAATGAATAACCACAACCAATCACAAAACACAGTCCGTTGTATACGACTGGTTCCTGACCCGTCTATCATGGTCGTCTGCTTCTCCCTCCCACCTGTGCGCGTACCCTGATACATGAACGAATTGACCCCCCCAATGCTCATGCAAGACGCCATGACCGCCATGACGTTCACACCTAAAGCAGCAGCAAAAACGTGCGTGCTGCTTCATATGTGATGCTTGTACAAGTTAAGTTCTGATGCGCGGCTGACGCATCTTTGCTGCTCTGGCTGCGAAGTGGAAAAAGTGGGTCCTACTGATCCCTATCCTGTCTTTGCCTGTGACAGTGGCAGATATATTTGCTGTGATCAGTGGATAAAAAGTAGTTTGAATCTATTTTGAAGTGAGAAGGTCCAACTGAAAACATCGTCGGTGCACTCAGTTCATCCAGATTATCATCCTGGGTTCAAATATTATTTCACCGGCGGTGCGCTGTCACTAGGAATCCCATTCAGCAGCAGCCTCTGGCCCGGTCACCTCCCTGTGGTTTGCCGAGGCGGCTGGAAGGCCTTCTTTAATGTACGTAATACAAACTGCAGTGACCAGGATAATAAAAGCACACATGATTTTCCGGCAGATTTCGGCATTTTAAGTTAATTTAGGCATCAATAAACTCTTTCAAAGGAGTGATCATAGTGCTCTGCATCATCAGTGCTGCCGTCTCCCTGCCAGCTCCGAGATCAGCGATGCACTGCTCATGCTGCTCTAGCATGCTGTCTGTAGCTCGTTCATGTGTTTTAAAGCCGTGGTTTTGAGGGGTGGTCTGAAGGGAGAGGCATGGTTGTGTATGTTCAAAAGTATAGTTTGCTGGAACTGTTTTTGCTAGATCTCCTACAGCACCTTTAATCTGATTTTTTCAGCACTACCTGCTTTAAATACAAATATAACTTCACGTTTTCTCCTTTATTTACATTTAAGCAGCTGATTTTCATTTCACAGATCGTCATGTATTAAAATCAATTCATAAAATGTTTCCATTGCTGGTAGCCATTCATTCTCGCCCACAACCTCCTGACATATATCTGAAAATCGGTCTGAGGCGCCTGCTTCTGTCTGCTTTTAAAATCTCGCTGAAAGTGCTTTATCATACTGGTGCAGAGTTGTGCTGCATGGAGCCGATTCGTCGAATGGGTGGTGCTGAACTAGACCCTTATCTTCACCCACTCTGCCCACACCTCCCAGACAGCTCAACGGCAGCAGCTCTCTGTCACCGTGGAAATCTCTACTGTCATCGTAAAACACAGATAATAAGTAGCTCAGTATATGCAGCTTGTTTAGGGTGCTGAACTCATGAGGAATTATTGTTAAATTAAAGTGTTTCTGTTTGTTTTTATCTGACAATTTCCAGTCAAAATGAAGTCGGCTTGGTGTGAAGGTCTGCGTCCAGTCTGAAGTCTTTTCATCAAGTTGGGTCTAAAGTGATTAAAACTGGAACTCGTTCAATTCTAAGCCACAGAACTTGAGTTCGCACCTCTGGGAAACATTTTTAAAACAGCAGAAAAACATCCTTTAATGTGTTTGAGGAAAAACAAGGCAATAACAGAATGCTCTTAAAAGCAAAAATAGCATTTAAACCAGCTACTGTTTTAATGTAAACAGACACACCGCATACTTTCTCTGAGGTATCTGACTCAATATCATCCACTCCAGCGAATACACTCTATTATCTCTGTTTTATTGGGGTTTTTTGTGATTTACTAACAAAAAGTATCTGTAGTGAGCCCACATTACTGCCTCCAGAAGTGTCACAAAGAGTAAAAGAGATCCAATGAGTATTTTCAGGGATTTAATATCTGTGCATGTAGATAACTTGAGGATGACCCTGAACATGTAACCAATTAAGAAGCAGCACACAGATCAGGTGGGATCAGGGATAAAGTAGTGAGATGTTCAAAGCAGGGTGAGCTTATAAAGCAATACCCCATCATCTGAGCTCATAAAGAGTCTAGCAGCTGGAAAACGTCCCGGAAACAGTGCCATCCCTAAACTATCTGTCCAAGGAAGTCATTGACCACAGAGGCAAACCAAGGAGCCATTGTTGACTGTGTTTAAGCAATAAAAAGAGACAATATTTCAAATGAAATCACCAGAAGCCCAGGTTAGCATTGCCCACATAGCAGACAGAGCAAACATGGATCACAGGTAAAACAGATAAAACCAAACAACACAGGCAAACCACCTAAACCCTAAACGCATCGTTATTGCAGTAAAACCATTGTGCCATCACTATTTAGAAAGCTGCTTCAGATATCCCCCAACCCCCAACAACTAAGGGGTTTTCTTTAAAGTACTGAGTCAAGGGGCTAAAAGCAAAAAATTATTTAGGAAGCTTAACTCATGTTTGCACTAATTATTTGTCTATCGCTTTAATCCGTTGGAAAATATTAAAGTTGTGGTGTAATGTGACAAAATATGAAAAGGTCAAGACTTTTTTGAGGCACTGTGAGCGTTGTGTCTGATCTCTGTGTCACTGAAACAGTTAATCCATTCTGATCTAGTGACATTTTGAATTACTGGTGTGTGGGCTTGAAGATTATTTCTGTTTCTTTAATGGAAGACAACATGTCGTTTCTTAGCCTGCTTTGTCTAAGCCTTTTGATACTGTTGATACTGTTTACTACAATGGTTAAATCTGTGGAACTCAGATGGATATGTTTTGAAATGCTGCAATGGCTTTTTCCCGTCGTCCCTGAGCTTTGGACTGAAGACGAACTTCTTAGATCTTGAGGTCGTCCATCCTGCCCTTGTTGTTGCTGTGCTTGCTTGACTGACTGTTTCTACGTTGGCTTTCAACAGGAGTCTCAGTAACAGGACTGGATGTTTTCGCTTTCTCTGAATCGTCTACCTCTGATCTGCCTTTTCTCTCCACGGCCAAGTTGTCTCTGTTCTGCTTGTAAACTGCTTTGCTGTTGTAGGGGCTGTAAGCGGAGTCTGGCTCTGCTGTGCGGTACTTGGAGTCTGCCGGAAAAGGCTCGGCCACAGTAGAGTGGCCTGTGAAGTAGGTGTAGTTTGGGGCGAAAGGTATGACCCCCTCAGTCAGGGCCTTGGTAGCTTCTCTTTCCTTCTTTGACCGTCTGTAGCGAAGACCTTGGTGGCAGTTTTTGAAACCTAAATGGTACATTTCCACCAGATTGAGGAGTAGGGATACTGAAGCTACTGCCAGCATGAAAAGGATGAAAACCGTCTTCTCTGTGGGTCGAGAGATGTAGCAGTTCACCATGTTAGGGCAGGGCCAGCGGTCACAGGTGTACATTGGCTTCAGCTCAAATCCGTACAGGAAGTACTGAGCTACAATGAACGCCACTTCAAAGAGAGTCTTGAAGATAATGTTGAAGACATACGTTCGCAGCAGAGCACCATGCAATCGCACATGGCCCTGGTTGTCTTTAACTGAGGCTTTTTTGGGCTTAAAGCTGATTAACTGCTGCTGTTTTTCATTCTTGATATCAAGGTCCTTGAGTTTCTCCTTCTCCTTTTCCTCCATGCGTACCAGATGAAGGATGTGGCCCAGATAAATAAGAGTAGGCGTAGAGACGAAGATGATCTGCATCACCCAGAAGCGGATGTGAGATATGGGGAAGGTCTTGTCATAGCAGACGTTCTGACAACCGGGCTGCTTGGTGTCACATGTGAACCCAGACTGCTCGTCTCCCCAAACCTTCTCCGCGGCTGCTCCAAGCACCAGGATGCGGAAGATGAACAGCACCGTCAGCCAGACCTTGCCAACAACGGTGGAGTGTTCCTGGGCACTTTCCAGCAGCTTCCCCAACAAGTTCCAGTCTGCCATGTCTGCCAACTAATCACCAAAACCAGGGGACAAACCTGCAAAAAAAAATTTTTAAATTCAGCAAAGATGAAGTAGTTTCTGAGTTTCTAAAAGAAAAATACAGTCTATAGCCCCAGTTACACTACACTTTTGAAACCGTGCCGAGCTCAATCCTAGCACGGTAACCGAGATAACAGTTAAGGGTAAATGGCATGTACAACTGAACAGGACCGCGCCAGACACAACTGAACCGCACTAACATCGTACTAGTTCATCGATGGGGCTCGGCACGGTTCATCTCCTTACAGTCAGCCTCCGTAATCATGAAACTTCAGACATTCATAAAAATACTAGCTTCCCTATCGTGCCACATCATTTCCAGTGATGATTCTGCTTTGCAGTGTGATAAACCTCGTCAGCCGTTGTTTCCTGCATCTGTAAGCCCTGATTAGACTGTTGTTTGTTGTATCCACTTCCCAAAAGCCGACTCTATTAAGTAAATTCCCCAAAGGCTGCCTCTCCGCAAACTTCCTGAATGTTACGGCCGCCGCCATGTTTGTTTGCTTGTTTACCTCTAGAGAGCAATAGTACCGTAGATCGCCACTAGGCGGTGAGGACCATGCTAGAGTGGTGTATAAATGGTTTTAAGGAACCAAGCTCAGCATGGTTAACTGATCCAAGCTCGGCACACATCGGATTTATGAGGGAAGTGTAAATGGGGCTAGTTACTCTATTTAAGTTCCTTAGCATCTGGTCCAGGAGAGCAGAAGATTAATGATTTAGCAGTCCTATAAGAAGCAAAAATTAGAATGACTTTTTAAAAAGCCAACCACAAACCTCTGAAAAGCATTTCTTTATCCTGGGTCAGCCATGATTTTCTATCTTCTATAGATTTTGCTTTCTATGTTTGTAAAAGTTTGTCTATGGGATGCTTCCTCTTTTGCTGTGGTTGGTGTATTGTGTTTTTTCCTGTCATTTGTTTCTAGTTATTCTGTATTTTCAGGGTTTCTTTTCTCCTTTCTTTCTTTCTTTCTCTCCATCTCACCCTAATCTGATTGGTTCTCTCTCAAGAGCCTCTACATTGGGATAATATAAGGATAATATTTACATAGAGATCACGTCAGTATTAAAACACAGCAGTTGTCTTCTTTCTGCATCTAAATGTATAAATCAGAAAATTGATAACTTCTGTTTATAACTATTTCCTTGTCTTCGTTCTAAAGTCTAATTTATCCTCATTGAACAAATTACATTATTGTTTGGGCTCACACATTTATGTCACAGCTTAATAAAGTGCTGCTACTTTAGAGGTTCTATTTTAGATCAGAAACTGATTCTGAAACAGAAGCTCTCAGTGCTCCTTTATTCTAAACTAGAATTACTAAATATATAGATCAACATTTTGTGAACTTGAACATTTGTATATACAGTGAAAGATTTGATAGTGGATTTATCGACTTTTATGATTTTAAAACTTTTTAAGAAATTCTTTATTTCACAGACTAAGAATCTCCATCTTTAAAGCATCACGCTGCTATTTTTCTGTGAAATATTGTTAAATATTTTCTTTTTATCTCATAAAAGCTTCTTCCTCATTATACTTTTTACCGTTCATATTGCAGGATTTTGGAAAATATTTGATCTTTTCTTAAGTTAATTTTAATACTTGGCAGTAAGTTTTTACTTTTTTATGTGAGCCGTCTCCTTTCCTGATCTCAGTTAAGACAAAATGAGACGCACTGAGCCGATTTCCTTTGTCTCAATTTGATATTCTCACTCAGAGGCACTGTCTCCGTTATCAGAACTCTTTGGGTTCACATATTCTCTTATAATTGTCTCATTTTAGCTTATCTCTTGCTACGGATGGACCCTCAGAAGTGACTCAAAAACACATGATGCCCAATCTGATTTTAAGAAAGGAGATTGAGCAACACATGAGCAACACGTTTCCTATTGGCTCTATTTAAAAGTTATTCATATTTTGTATTTGTACATTTTCTAATTTAGTTGGTTTGGTTTTTCTAACCACACTTTTACTTTATACTATAAAATTGTTTAGTTTTCTAACAAACTAAACTAAATGAGAGTGAGTTTTATAATTGAAAACAACAAAACTCTGTTGGATGCTCTTCTATTTTTGTTTTCTTTCTGAAAAAAATACCAGCTTTTGAATGAACATTTTTCCCATTTTACATTCATTCTATTGCAATGTTGTTTAGATGGTCGCAATAGATTCTTCTATGGATGGAATTTTATTCTGTTATTGTTTTAAGCAAAGAGCATGTTTGTAAATGGAAAGCTGAAAAAAATACAATCTAGAAATGAAACATTGCAAAAGTTGTAAAGTAACTCATGAAGTTATTTTGAATCTTTGTTTCTCATGTTTCATTTTGTCAAGTTATAATTGTTTTGTTTTTCTATAATTCTATATTGATTTTATTTTTTAAACTTTCAAACTAACAAGGTTTTTATTCTCCTCAAACTGCGGTTGACAGATCACATCATCTCCGCTTCTCAGGGTGGGCTTTCTTCTGGAGTTAGAAACAAAGATGCATTTCCATGTACTGGGATTGAGGTTAAGAGAATGTGATCTATTAACGCAATTTCAAATGAATGCAATAAAAAAAATATAAAGTTGAAAATGTAAAATCTGTAGAAAATATTAACAAATAAAAAAGAATTTGAAAAAAAAAAAGCAAAGTTACTCTCAAAGCTTTTTTTATTAAATGTTTTTTCTTTTCATTTTCTTTTCTTAAAACAATAAAGGAACAAAATGTACTTCATACTATTCACAATTTCTGTGAGAAGTTTCTGGAAACATTCTGGTTTTGACGCCGCAGTGAAAACACACAAAACTACTCGGACTAAAAAGATTCAAAGTTTTTAAAATATGAACAATAAAAACACTTTTAAGAGTTAATTTGGGAAACTAGGATAGCGCTTCTGGTTAATGGAGCTTTTTATTTTCACCATGCGTCCAGTAAACCAACCAGTTATGCTAAAGTATCAGCTGTCCCATCAAAGCATCTAAAATGATGTCTTTCATCTTTGCACTTTTCTGAAATAATCTGAATCCATTTGTTCTTCTGCTTTTCTGGTTACCTCTGTTTTTTGTCAGCGACATAATGAACACATCTGACGTTATAATCTGATTATTACGTTTCTCTATAATGTTTAGGACTGCCTTTCAAATCAGAACATGACTTGTTTCAGAGGAAAAAGGCAGCATTTGTTCATGCTGGTCTGCAGATTCGTCCCTATGCTGAAGACAGTTAGGCATCAGAAAGGCCGTACACAGGCATGCCAGTTAAGCTGCGAATGGACCATGAAGCTGACATTTCTTTTCTGCGATGTGGTATCCCTTCATGCCTGCTGGTGGGAACATCCTGGACAAACTCACTGTGTGAGTGAAAGCCCCCGAAGCGCTCTTGGTGAGACTGCTGGCCTCACCGGGGATCTTGTGACAGCAAGTCTAACTGAGCCACACGAACTCTTTTAAAAATAGTTGCACTTGTCATTTAAAAGTGAGACACATCAGGAAACACATGGAGATCTGAGTACCTGTTTAAAATACGCACTATGTGGCAGAAATCAGGAGACAGATGAAACCAAAACCAAGCCACACTTTAAATCCTTGCATGGAAGATACAGATAGTGATAAAGAATAACATTTCCATCAGAGAGGTTTACCTACATGAGAGAAGACCTACCTGATAAGGTTCATTTCCTTCAGCCCTAAAGTGAATACGACTCTTCAGCTCACAGGGGGACCATACTGGAGGAAACACTTTCCACTCTATAGAACTGCTTGGTTGTCTCCCTATTATTGGGATTTTACCAAATCCTCTTTTTGAGAGGCGTGACAGAGAAGAAACTTTTCCAATGTGCAGAAGCGTCTCAGAGCCGTCTTCTCAAGAGGAGTTTCTCTGGGCTGAGTGGCAGTTGGAGGGTCCAGTCAGGATGCAGACTGAGCTGACGGCTTACTGTGCTCTAAATATAATCCACGATGCGGGGAGTGGCTGTGATGCTGCTCCTCTGGTGATCTGACCCCAGGCTCCTTGGACGAACTCTGAGAACTTAAAAAATGAACCAACTGCTGATGGTGTTCAGGAATGTTGCAAAGGGCTGGCTTACATTGGATGCTTTTAGTTAAAGCACCTCACAAAAGTTGTTAGTTTAAAGTTCAAACAGAAAAGACATCCTTATAGTTTCTCATTTGTTAGTATGTACCAAATTAAATACATTACAAGTGGTCAGATTTCCAGCATTTTGTTGTTTATAGCATAAAATAATTCATTGATAAAGCAGACGACACTATATTCCTCATTCAGTCACGTGACCCACTGAGGGATGCCCTGATGTCAGTTTAGTCAGGAAGTTATCATTTTACATAGCGAGTCAATATTTATTCACCTTTGTTATGGAGTTTTTATCCTTTAACAAGGAAGAATATGAAGCAATCAGAGTCTTAGTGGTTTTATTAATGCTCGCTGGTTAAATCACCACTGCTAAATGCTCTTTGATCTTATGCAGAGCCGATGGAAGTTTATTATCTTTCAGAACATTTTTTAGGTGGTTCTGTGTTTTAATTAGTTTAAACTAGAGTCTAGTATTTTGTTTGAAGAGGGGATCACAGGATTTGGATTGGTTGAGGTGGCTGGGTTCGGTTCAGTTGGCAGCGTCCTGCTGTGGCCGGGTGTGAAGGCTGGCGCTCAGTTTTGGAGCCCTGTATGCGGAGCTGGATAGCACACTGTGCTACGCTGCTGTGCCTGGATGGGGAAAGCGGTCCCTCGGTGATCGGATCGCAGTGAGCACTCCAAGCACTGGGTCCTTTGTGCTTTCTGGGTGGGAAACATTGCCCTGTGGATGTGGTTTTTACCCATTTACCTAGAGTTTGTTGTTTTATGAAATAAATAATTTCTGGGAAAAAATAAACAATGCTTTAAATCAGCTTTATAGCCATCAGACACTTTATTAAAGCTATACAACAGAGAAAAAAAGCCGTCGCAACTTTGGTATATGGAATCCATTTGATGATGCAAGAGCAGGATTGATGATAAAAGAATCTGCCGTGAAGTGATCCGAACATAGTTTGCTGTATCGGCCTGGACGCCACAGATTGACCGGTTGATTTCTGTCTAATCTATTTACTTTCCGGATCAAAATTTGGCACAAAATCAGGCCCTTCGGATAATCAAAACTTTATTTTTCCCGATCCAAAGGCATTCCTTCTATTGGCAGCAGTACAATAGACCAGTGTAATGATGTTTTAACAATCCATTTGCAGTTCTCAACAATGTGTGAAGTAGTGTTTCTATACACCCACCTGAGGATGATTGACTACACTGACATCACAGCTGTGTTTTTGGTCATGTGACGGCTCTAGAGGCGCCAAGCATACTGTAAAACTCCTCGATTTTTACTACTTGGAGCATTTTTTGTGCGATTTAGACCAGCCACATAAAAAAAAAGAACTGATAATCTACCATCACACACGATAAACCTGCTCTAGCCTCACTCCTTTCTATTTGACCTTTAAACTTCTTCCTATTTTTGAAGATTACAACCACAAAACTGTATTTAATTAGGATCTTAGACCAACATGAAGTAGAGAAGGGAATATTCTGGACTATTACACCATTTACACTACCATTTTGACATGCATGCAACTGAACCGGACCATGCCGTACACAACCAAACCACGTTAAAGCTAGTACTGGTTCAACAGTAGGGGTTGGCGCGGTTCAGTTGTATCTCGGTTCTCTGATAACAAAGAGCGCATGGGCAGACCGCATCATCTCCTTACAGCCAGCTTCCAGTAGTTGGCGGTAATGCACATAAGTTACGAGAAATTAAGAAGAAGTACTGTAAACAAGAGCGGAAATGGTTGTTGTGTAACCGGGGATGACGCCGAGACTGCCTTCTTCCCTTGACTCTCCGTAAATAATGAAATATTACAATTATAAACAAACATAATTTCCTGAATGTTACGGGCACCGCCATTTTGATTCTCCTAGAGAGCATTAGTACCGTAGAACTTCACTAGGAGGCAAGGAACCGTGCTAGCATGATGTGTAAACGGTTGTAAGGAACCAAGCTTGGAACTGTTAACTGATCCAAGCTCGGTCCGAACTCGGCACGGATCGGTTTCAGAGGGTGGTGTAAACGGGACACAAGTGGCATGTATTGGTTTTACTCAGATGTCTCATGAGTCCAACTGTGTCTCAGTATGAATCCAGCTTTTCTCATCATTGTTTTTGTTTTTACCTTTTAGAGGATGTTGGGGAACAAACATCATCATAAAGACAAGGAACAAACTAGACGGTTCAGGAACATTCCTGAGAGCTTCGGGTTTATTAAAACAAACCAAGAAAAGAGAATGAAACCATTTTATTTGAATGGTGGCCAATAGGTGCAAAAATATAAACGCGCAAAAAATACAACAAATGCAAAAAATCAGACTAGCAAAAACAAAAAACACATTAAAAGAAAAAAACACAGTGAAGGAGAATTGTTGCAAATACAGAAAGCAAAGAGGAGCAAATTGCAGCTTGCTATAAATTATGCTACAGTAGCACACAAACGTGTGCAAAGGGAAATTGTTGCAAGTAGCAAAAACAAAATTAAAATTCAGTAATGAGCTCTGCATAGTTGAACTGCACCAGACCAGTAGGGGGAGACGATCATCATCTCCTATGGAATCGGACCCTTAGCAAAGATATAAAGTAGATAATCAGAGCGATCGAGTATTTAAAATAAGACTTAAAGGAGAACATAGTTTTTCTTGCTTCCTTCCAAATGTCGGCTGGACGGTATCTAGTTTCTGTTTTGCGAACAGTTTGTTTTCAAAGACTTTAAAGGCTAATCCAGAATAGAGCAAATTTCTAGCTACTGTCCCTTCATTTTCATGGTGTCATCCGTAAGATCTGTCATGGCTAGGAAAGGAATTCCAGACGGCGTTCTGAATTTGGACAGTCTTAGGAGTCCCTGTATGCTAGGTTCTTTGGGTTTTCTGTTTCAAAATGTGATCTCAAAATAAAACAACAGTGTTATTTTTCTGTTTCTGAGCGCCTCCAGCGCTTACTCTAAGCAGAGTACGCAGAGACACTAAAGCAACATTAGAAGCATTGATCCAAGAACATTTCCAATGTAGGAGATTAGTAGCAGAAGTAGCTCCTGTAGTGGCTTTGTGTAGGAGAAAAACAGCTAAACAGATAAGCTTTGAGCCAAGCTTTAAGTCCCGAGGAGCAGATCCAGTTAGTCCCAGTAAACTCTCAGCTAAAATGCCTAGAAGAAAGATAATAAACATGTGAAGGATGTGTTCTGACCAAAAGGTAATGCCCTTCATTAAAAATCTTCATATGAAGAATACATGTCTCTGAAAGCCATGTTGTGACATGGTGGTGGCTGCATTATTCAGTCCGGGTTAAGAAATAAAATGAGCCGTTTTACATCACCGTAAAAACTGATCTAAAGACAAGTAAAAACCTCTTATAATCCACTTTTTTTGCACTTAATTTGAGCAGTTAAAGAACCTGATATGCCAAAAAAAATCAGGATTTTTCGCTTTAAAATAAGATGACTGGATATAATGCACATGAAATGTTTTTTTTTTTCTTACTTAAATGTAATTAATCTTATTTGGTTGGAAAATTGTCTGACCTGGCTGCTTAAAACATAAAAAGAAAAACTTTCAAGAGAAACTGACAAACATACTTCAGGTTTTCCAGTAAAAATGCTCCTTTATTACATACCTCCAAGTAATAATTGAAATCAGGGTTTCCCAGTTAAAACATGGTCAAAACATTTTAAAAGGTGTTTTTTCTCATTTGACCTTTAGATCAGGGCCCTAAATGTAATCAAAAGCTAATTTTGTGTTTTATAACAGTTTGATAACAAGCAACTGAAGGGTTAAAAGCTTAACATTTGTCTTTACTGATCAGATTTATTTTTCACCTTCCCTTCAAGTCTTCTGCATTAAACAGGACAAGTTTACTTCTAGACGGTTCCTGTTCAGCACCTCTCATTAATATGGACTTAATAGAAGGAGAAGTTTTGGCTTGTTCCATAAAAAGATAAGCTACCCCCCCTCAGCAGGCCCAGCTGTCCTGGGGTCACTCATTGTGACACTGACCCGCTAACATGGGGTAGCTATTGATAACCTCAGTACTAATTATGAGAGTGACGGGTTGAGACGGTTGCTCACAGGTGGCAGCCTGGGATCTGTCTCAACAAGGTGGAGGTGTTGCTCAAAGTGTGTTTAAGTTTATTGTTTTCCTTTTCTTTTTATCAGACTCTGGTCACGATTTCAATAAAGTCTGCAGTCTGTTGGTCACCTTGTGAGGACAGATTTTTAACATTTCATTGTGTCAAACTCATGGTATCTTCTTTAAATAGAAACATGAGCAGAGATTACTGAAGGTGCTTCAAACTGTTGAAAGCTCGTATTTCAGTGAGTTCAAAACTGTGTATTCAGTAGTGTACGTACCTGTAAAACCCAAATATAGAAAAACAGTAAAAAAAAAAAAAAATTTCAACCACTCAGATGTTGTTGTAGGAGGCCTTTGAGGCTAAAAATTTTATGTTTTAGTAAGTTTTTACAGAAATGTAATATTGCAACAAGGGGCCAAATTGGGAGCAGAATTTCCTGTATTTGTACTCTTTGTCTGAACAACAATACAGAACTACGGATTCATTTGCAGGGTTTTACTTTTACCCCAGAACAGTATAACATGAAAAATTATTTCAGTCATGTTGTTATGAACATTTTTGTTTTTTTTTTATTCCAGCAAAGAGAATTTCTTATTTACAATGATAATCCCAAAAACAGTTCCTTTCCTCGGAAAAACAGGGGCGAACATCACACTTGCTGTACTGGGTAGTCGTATACCCTTTACTGCAATGTCTGC